AAAAAAAAAAGAAAAAAATAAAAGAAACAAAAATTGCTCCTACTAATAGTGGCGAGCATGTCAAAACGTGGATCCCCTATCGCGCTACGATTTTTTTTTTTAGAGAGTAGAGATTGTTTTTTTTATCTAGAAAGGATTCGGCGTCGTTGAATTTCTATGATTTACTATGATTTATAGTTCGTTCAAAGTTGACTGGTTACTCAATTTCATTTAATCTTTTACTTTTCTTTCGTTGATCTTCAACTGGGTCACTGGGAACCATGAAAATTTTGAATTAAATTACTTACTTTTAATATAAATTAATATAGTTACCTATGACTCAACGATACTTGAGCTAAAGAGTTAAAAACTATGGATGATAGAATGGGTGAAATGATCTTGAACAACCAGTTCAGATTCAATAGTAATAATTAGAGAAATAGTAAAATGAAGATTGCAATAATTCTGATTATATGTAGCATATAAAGCTAATCAAAGCAACGAATGACACTGATATATCGTTTGCTTCAAGCACGTGAATTATTTCGGTAAGTGGCAATTAACGATCGACCAATTAATTATCGATCATCGAAGCTTCAATTAATGACAACTTATTCTGGCCGATTTTATAAACAGTGTATTATGCAAACAATCGTTCGATAAATCGCGATTTAATCGTCGCGCTGCTAATTAATAGCAATATAAATTGAAGAACCGAGCAAACTCATCGTGCATACATGCATATTTATCATTATTATAACAGAAACACGATTTAGCGTTATTCACATTGCAGGATACGACCGAGCACATAATCAAGCATGCATAAAATATTTTCATCGATAACATATTCGATTGTGGAACGAATCGTGAGACAACAACCCTACGCAAAATCACACTCTACGAAGATTATCAACGTAAATTACATCGTCTTCATTTCGGGAATTTTGGACTCTGAAATGAAACATGGGGTAATAAATTTTGTACGTGTGTCTCGATATTCTTTCTAAGGAAAAAATACTGCGAGAATATCTATCTAAATAACGATTCATCACCGGTCTCATTCTTTATTGATCATTGA